ATGCAAGGTTCAACATTTAGGAATGTTGTGGTTTTTCAATGAACCAAATGAAGTTATATAAAGAAGTTCTGTACAATATAATTTTGTACATTTTTTTGCATGATGATGAGCATAAAAACTCCTGTGCTGTTCAAATCAGTAAACATTTTTGAAAATGAAAAGCTAACATCTGCCTGCTAAAAAGAAACTTTACAGTATACATGCTACAATTACCAGTTTGCACCATTTCAACCAGATTTAATGAACCCTGTCCTCAAGATGAATGTTCTTTTGTAAATGAATGGAAATGCAAATAAAAACAAACAGTACAAAGATACAGCACCAAATGGAAGAGTTAAAATGCATTATTTTCATGAAAATATATACTGACAGACTTAAAGAGCCTAAAACACATCATTCATTATTTTTAAGTAAATTTAAATCATGTACATGCATCAGTTTCCAGAAGCTGCCATCTAGCAGTTGGTTTTAATTCATATTGACTTACAAATTGGTACAAATGGTCTTGGAGTGAGTAGCAGCCAAGATTGTTAAACATTAGAAAACCATCACTGTATTCTGTAAAATTAATAATGTAAAATATATGGATTAGCTGATGACAATGAAAACATGGCATAAATAATCTGAGGTCTTAAAAAATGTAAATTCACACAGAATTCCTGAATAAAAATAATAATAAAAAAACAATAGCCCATATACTTTTTGGTCAGTCATACAGCAGTGATCCCTGAGAATGGAGTGAATTGTATTTCAGCATTCCCTGAAATCTGCTACTCTTTATTCCCTTATCATTTACAGAAACCTTTCACTGTGACAGGGGCTTGAAACCATATATAGTCCTCAAGATCTCTTTTACTTTTTTGTAACTCCCCGGTGAGAGACAAATCATTGGCTATAGAGATGACTTGCCTTTTCACTTTTGTGGGAACTTTAAAATCCATTTTGGGCTTAAACCCAGTCACGCCACAATCCCGGTGACCCAGTGCCATGACCGTAGTAGTCATGAGGCGCACAGACTTGGCATCTGACAACAGGTCAGCCACAAACAACGTGCGGAAAATCTGTCTCAGACAGGTTGAGGTCCGTAAGCTGTTTTCCCCGGCCCCTACAGCCACCGCTTCCATGTTCACCTCATACAGCTCGGTGGGAAAAATGGTAGACCCACCCAGCATGAAAAGCACACGACGAACTTGGCTAAGAGAGAACAGTGCCTCAAGGTGGGCCAGCACTTCATCAAGCTCCTGCAAAGTACGCTGACACCGACGCCAATCCAAGCCCTCAGATGTCTTTCCAGACCGTCGAATTATCGTGTCCTCTGTCTGTGAGAAAGGTAGCACAATTAAGTCAAACTTTATTCGATTTATGAATTAAGGTATATCTAATCAAATGAGGTCTTCTGTAATACCTGAGTGGCATTATGCTGCTGTTTCTGGAGGAACACCATTTGGTCATATGTCATGGGCATCTGCTGCCGCTGGTAAAGAACACACTTCAGAAGCTCACAAACAAATCTACAGCAACCATCCTGGGTGATACGGCCGGGAAAGACAACATTCACTCGTCCTTCTTCTCTTGCTCTCCTGAATATTTCCTCATCATCAACGTGGTTTGCAGACACTCCACTAGATTCACAATCCCTCTGCATGCCAGAAGAACTGGCCAAAGCATCCATCTGCTGGCAACCTTGAAATAAAAACAATGGAATCAACATTTCAGAGATTTCACGAGGCACAGACTAAAGTGGCAAACATCAAAGAGAACAATGATGTGACACTATTTTGTTGTCCAGATCAGAAATTATTTATGGTTATATAAAGATGTTATATAAATAAGTTCTGTACAATAATATTTTTTGCCTGATGCTTTGGGCATACAAACTATAAAAATATATACTTTTTAATCTGTACTGTAAGTTTCAAAAGCTAACATCTGCCTGCTAAAAAGAAAATTAGTTTCACCGCACATTACAATATACATGCTTCACTCATCAGTTTGTGCCATTTCAACCAGATATATTTTGTAAGTGAATGGAAATGCAAGTAAAAGTAAACTATACAAAGATATAGCACCAAATGTAAAGTGAAGTGTTAAATTGCATTATTTTCATTAAAATATATAATTGAGAGACTCGAACAGCTTAAAACACAATTTATTAAAGCAGCACTATGTAACTTTTGGCGCTCTAGCGGTTAATAAACAGAACTGCACACATCCCGCGGAAGAACATTCCAACCGGAGCTACTTCTCTAAGTTTATGTCTATGGCGATTCACGCAGGTAAGTGTTACTCCGCAGCGGTGACGACCCGACCAGGCTACAATAGTCCAAATATAAGTACTTATTATAAGTGTACCGTAGTGATTCGGAATAAGACAAAAACGCGGTTTGGAAGATGAATTAATGATGTACTCGCTCATTATATACATTTTGCAAATTTTTAACACAGAAAAAGTTACATAGTGCTGCTTTAACTTCAAGATGATTAAAATCATGTAACTTACTTTCAGTACATCAATTTCCAGAAGCCGACATTTAACGTTAGCAGATATTTTACTTATAATTGTTAAAAGAAAGTAAAAGTAAAGCAAAACCATTAAAATGAAATTTGTCACTCGATCGTGACTGTGTATATATATACAAGTTTATATTCTTGTTATTCTTTAGACTTCTCATTTGTGATTAACTTATTATTTAACAACTGAGAAGCATAGATAGGAAACCTAACCATTTGCCAATACTTACCATCATGATCGTCACCTCTATGTTCTGTTCTTGCGTGTGTGGGGCTGTTTCTATTTTCTTTGTCCTCTGATGGGTTTAAAGGCTCCCTGTCTCTCTCAATCTCACCAATGTTGTCCAACAGGTACAAATTTCCCACCTTAGCTTTAGCAGAGGATTCAGGATCATCGACCTGGCACAAAATGTTCCTTTCCCTTTCTCCATCAGATGAAACCTTTGATTCTTCTTCGTGAGGTATACACTGATCGGTGTGAATAATTGTGTTATTGTAGCTGTTGTTAGAAACAAGGTTGGTTTTGCTATGTTTGATGACAGTCATGTTTGCACGCTCAAACTCTCTCCTCTTCGATCCCTCTTCCATTTCTACTGTTTGAATTTGCCCACCGGGCACGGCATCATGGGAAACACGGGAACCGGAAATCATGGGAAATCTAATAAGAGTCCCTCTCTTGCATTTTTATTTCACGTTTTTTTTTTTTTTTTAATAAAGAAATATTTGGTTAGCATGAGATTTATTTATATACATATTTATTTATTTTTAATAGCCAGGCAATATTTCCTGTCTTTTTATTAGATTTTTTTCTCTTCGGATTTAAAGCAAAGCGGCGAATGACGACCTCTGCAGGTTGACTTTTTCATACAGTCTAATCCTTTTAGGTTCTTGGCCATTCCTGCCGAAATGTTATTAGGTTATCGCCGGATTGATTGAAATTTCACAATAACGGAGGCCTTTGTGCATTCTGTACTCTAGTCTAATCTGCAGAGATTCTGTCATGCATTAAACTGTGGGCATTTTTAGACTTCACAGACTTTTAAATAATGTTTCGTCAAATAAACTTTTTTTCTTAATTAAATATGTACTGATAATATGAAAGAAAGTATTTTTTGAACAAGGTGATAATGCTAAGAACGTCAAAATAAGATTTTAACATGCCCACATTTTCTCAAGGCAAATCCTCACAGTTTACATTTTAATCACTCATTAATAGGTATAAAATGATTAAATGCCCAATTGTGCACATTATAGTTAATCAATACCTTAAAGTAATATATTCAATATATATTAAGGCATGGAGCTCCTTTTTGCAAAGAGTTCAAGGTGTCTCATATACAGTGTTGGGGAAAGTTACTTTTAAAAGTAACGCGTTACAATGTTGCGTTACTCCATAAAAAGTAACTAATTACGTTACTTAGTTACTTTTTATGGAACGTAATGCGTTACGTTACTGTTGCGTTACTTTTAAAATCTGGACAGGGCTTGCTTGTTTGTTTTTAAAATAAAAAAGTTCTATTTTTGGCAAATATAAAAGCCTTTTCACACCAAAAGTGAAATGAATAAGCCTCAGGCTGAAGGGAAAGTAAATTTACGTCCGTACAGTAGAACGCAGAAGAAGACATTTCAACAATTCATTCATTCATTCATTCATAGAGTAATTTGTGTTTATTAGTACGGTTGAACTGGATCATCGAAGGTCAGAAGCAAATAGAATGGGATTAAATACATTAAGGATATTTGTGTTGTTTAACATTTAATTATTGTAGGTTTGCGTCATATTCTGAGTTGCATTATTTTTATTGATTTTGAGGAATACTGAATCTGTGTTTTTTGTTTTTTTGTGAGTGAGATGAATTAATGCATATTCATATTTATTTTAGAACTACAGTAACATCTTCTGATTTCTGGCAACACCAGAGCTGTCAGTCAATAACTTGAAAACAAAAGTAACTTGCGTTACTTATTTGAAAAAGTAACTCAGATATTCTCTTGTAAATTAAAAAGTAATGCGTTACTTTACTAGTTACTTGAAAAAAGTAATCTGATTACGTAACTCGCGTTACTTGTAATATATTACCCCCAACACACTGCTCATTCATTGCATACAATCTATCTTGAAACACGTCCTCATAGACATTTGTATACATATACAGCAAACCTGTTGCTACAAAAGGCTGATTTAGTAAATAACCAATATCACCACATCTATTTTTTACATTATTACATAGTGTAAATATGGCTGAATAATAATATGTAGTTAGATCCACAAGAATGTTTTATCTTATGCTTCAGTAGACGCAAGAACTTTTGACCCTTCCCGCGGTTGCTACCCTACCAACCCTACAACGCTTTGACGCTCAACCTAGCACGTTTTATCGGACTGCCGCATGAAACCATCCAATCGCAACTCCACTTCCGCGTACGAGCCGACCAATCGCCGCGCGCCATTTTCCACGCAGCCACCACTGTTAGCGATAAGGTAGGTTGCATCACCGCACAGTCTCCCCACCAACTACAATTTGACAGTTTCTCAGGTGAGGCGTCACGCTACAGGAGCTCTTTCACTTTCTCTTGAGTTTCAGCGCGCATTTCGCTGTGAGCCTGGGGTTGCTTAACTCAAAAACCAATTACCAGAAGCCCTCACACCACGGCACCATGAGCAAAAAGAAAAAGGAGTGGAGAGCGGAGAAAGGTAAGGGTCTTTTGGACTCTCGTCGTGTCTCTTTCGTTTAAAGACAGGATTCATAACTGTAGTGTCAGTCTGGGGTTTGACATCCACCGGCTTGAACCTGGGGTCACGGCACGCACGTGGCGGGAGAAACGTCGTCTTATAGACGCTCTGCCTCTTGAATCAACAGCATGGACAGATACACACCTTCAGATGCAGGTGGAGCATCAGTGCATGATGCTGTGATCAAGGCCCTTATGTGTCCAGCGTTAAAATCTGTTTAAATGCAAATAAAAATGCATTAATTAGTGTTTAATCTTTTATAAATTAATTGGAACATGTACATGTTTGATTGGTGCATTTAGTGAAACGCCGTATGATAACATAAAAACCCCAACGTGGTGCTTTCCATTAACTATGACCATTGTACCCTTGATCAAGAGGACAAACCCTGTCTGACTCCATGTAAGTCAGTTTGTATAAATGCATCAGCTAAATTACAATTTAAAAGTTCTGTTAATTAAACATTTAATGAAACGAATGTCATGCATGCATGCACTTTTGCTAGATCCTGGATATCCACCTTCATAAGTAGTTTAGTTCTAGACCTATTGTCTAAAACTGTAAGCATACTACTCAAAAATGAGTTGGATCAGGTGTGTTTGATCAGAATTGGAGCTAAACTTTCCTGGAAATTTGCTTTCAGGGAACAGGATGGTATAATGCAACTTTGATAGTGTGTTTGGAAGTTCTGCACTGTCCAAGCCTGTTTGATATAATCATAATTTAGCTTGTTTTGACATGAGAACCTTAATGATTTTGTGTTAGAACAGAGACACTTTTTAATTAGAATAAGATTATTTTTAATAATTTGAAGTGCACAAGCACTGCCACCTGTTCTTGACATCATCACTCAGTGTGACCTGAAGTTCACGACAACACAGTTATTGTTTGTTGAAAATTTGGCCTCCAGTGAAGTATGGTTATGACACATTCTATGAAGTTGCAGGACTGTAAATCATTAGGTTGACAGTGATGCCACTCGATACACATTAATGGTCCGCTATCGTAACTCAAACGCACGTATATGATGAGAGCTGTTGTCTAGAGTAATACAGTGCATTGCAGTGAACAAACATCAGATACTTACGTTATAATATCTTTTGATGGTGACTTGATGAAATGAATCAGCTTTGTTGGCATTTGTGCTATTTTAAAATTGCAAGTACACATTGCACTCATAAAGCAGCCTTTGTGAAACAGATCTTCATTCGTGTAGCAATAGGGAGTGCAGGAGGATAAAAACGGAAAAAATTAATTAATAAAGATGGTTGAAAAGGCAGATGTAGGGGCAGTCAGCATGAAAAATCAGTAGTGTCGGCAGGGGCACTTTGGAGCTGGTTTCTATCAAGAATTTTAAGTTTTATTTTGTCTGGAGTAGAAAAAAACCTTTTTGGAGCTTCTTAGAGCTTGTTACATTTTATTTTATTTTAACTTCTTATTTTACCACATAATAACTAGTGAACCCATTACACTTTACTTTACTGGACCGATTTCTAGAAATACCAAATGTTTAATTTGAGTTACTAATTTCTCTGTTTTGTGTATTTCTGATTACATGTTTAGTCAGCACCAATGTTGTTCAATGTTGACAAGTGAAAATACAATGTTAAACAGTTTTCTAGAATTGTTGGATTATGATAAAAACAAGAAACAAAAATAGAACCTTTTCTGAAAGTTAACTTAATTTAATGTTTTTTTCTTCGAAATACAGAATTATAGGAAGGTTTTTTTTAACCATCTCTTCCATGAAACCTTTGTAAGGAGTTTTATGTAATTTAGTGCCAATAAAGGTTGCATTAATGGGAGAAACAAAAGTGAAACTAAAACCTAAGGAAGAAAGTTGTCAAGCTGTGGATAGAGAATGAAAAGAGAAAGGAGGATATATATTGTAATGAGAAACCAACTGTGTAAACTTTAGTCTAAACTAGTCAATGAAACATTCCTTTTTTTTAATGCAAGTTCTCAAATTTTGGCCACATAAATATTAGGAAATGATTGAATTATATTGTCCATGTACATTAGATAGAACAGATCACACACACAGTCTGCTTCCATGTCAGGCCTGCAGCTGTATGCTGAACAGTGTACCCTCATTAGCTTGTCACTTCTTTCTCACACACACTTACATGGCTGCCACAATTACCACACCAAAGACTTCCACTCTGACATGATGCATAGAGCTAGTCGCAGATGTTCCTTTATGAACCCCTCTGATTCAAACTGATTAGCTTTGCTTCACAAGACATGCTTTTGTCTGTCTGTATACTATGACAGTATTGTTTCTTCTTTTTCACAGAGCGCTTACTCAGTCTTGGTCTAGAGGATAGGCGCAAAGATTATCGGGGAAACTATGTGCCATTGGACAAGATTGCCACCTGGGCAAACCATGACGATAATACAGGTAAATCTCAACGCCTTTCTGACTAATTTGTTTTTCAACCAATGGCAGACTCGGGGAAAGCTGCTTGAAAATGATTTGCAGTTTGTTTTGTGGTGAAGAAATTACACACTTTAACTTTTAAGTAGCCCACATGATTTTACAGTAGTGAATTATATATGGTACCATTCAAAATTTTGGGGTCAGTAAGATTTTTATTTGAAGGAAGATTAATATTTTATTCAGCAAGGATGCATTAAATTGATCTAAAGTGACAGTTAAGACATTTATACTGTTACAAAAGATTTCATTTTCAAGTAAATGCTGTTATTTTGAACTTAATATTTATCGAAGAATCCTGAAAAAAAAGTATCAAGATTTCCACAAAAATAATAAGCCACACAAATTTTTTCAATATTAAGAAAAAGTGTTTCTTGAGCACCGAATCAGTATATTAGAATAATTTCTGAAGGATCATGTGGCACTAAAGATTGGAGTAATGAAGCTGAAAATTCAGCTTTGCCATCAAAGGAATAAATTACTTTTTAAAATATATTAAAATAAAAAGTAAATTGTTACTACAAGTTAATTGTAATAATATATCACAATATTACTGTTTCTACTGCATTTTTGAACAAACAAGTGCAGCCTAAGTGTGAACATCTTACCAACCGTGAACTTTTGAACGGTAGTGTATGTCTCTTGGCCAACAGCTTTAGAGCGTATTCTCTTATATTATAGTTGCATTGTCATTCTGGAAGAAGGTACTGGTTGTTTCATGCCCTTCTCTGCCTGCAGACACTATAATCATTCTGCATGCAAGTGACTTGCTGCCCTTTAGAAGGGAAAGGACACATGGATCAGTGTGACCCTGACAGCTCTGATATCATGGCTTATTTATGGATAGTTGTGCTGCCCTGACCAGCTAGCTAAGTTTTATTAGTAGATTTAGTTTAGCAAATAAATATGATATGTAGAACAGAGAGACTTAGATGGTGACATTCTTCAAAATATCATCTTCTGTGTTCAGCAAAACAAGTTCGGAACAACTTGAGGGTGAGTAAATGATGACGGACTTTTCATTTTTAGGTAAACTATCCCTTTAAGTTCCGACTCAGGTGATCCGATCCTAAGTGGGCACTGGGCAGTGCTTAATACAGGTGTAAATGGGGTCTAAAATGTTTTATGATCTCCTCACTAAAATCACGTAGAAGTAGAAGTCTTGGGGGCCATTAACACAGAAATGGTTTTTCCATTCCAATGCACTACTTTTCCATCATTTTTTTATGTAAACACTTGCTAAATGGACGTGTAAGAAGATCTGCTCTTGGTCAAGTCTCACATTTTTTTTTGCAGCGTCTCGCACATGAGTGCCACGGTTTAAAGATGCCTAGTTAAGTTAAAAGAATTTAAACTTTTACAAGCAGTGCTGCTCATCAGTGTCAGTTCCAAAACAGTGGACCAATCAGAAGACCCTAGAGGCGGGGCATGTGTTGCAAGATTTTGTTTACTGTAGCAAGTTGGCATGGCAACTATTTTATTTTCGGCAGCATAGCAGAGGAGGCATTCTGCACTGTGCTTTTTAAAAAATCATTCCTGAGCATTGCGTCTTGCGTTTTTAGAAGCAAAGACGCATGCCTTCTGTGTGAACGGCCCCTTAGAATATCAAACATCTGAAGCTGTTGTTTCCTGTTTTAAGACCAGGGAGCTGTTTCATAAAAGACGCTAAGAAAAGTGGGGATTAAAGTCCAAAACCTGATTTGAAATAACCTAACAAATCAGTCGGGACTAAAGCGGTTTCATAAACGACAATTTAAGTTCACGCAATCTCACTAATTCGATCCAGGTTCAATGAGTCAGGATAATTTGATGTGCACGCTTATTCTTAAGCAGCACTTAATGTCGATCATGGATCAAATCGATCCACCATGGCAAACAGCGAATATTTGTGCCGTTTAACGCATTTGAGACATTGTGTTTTCCTCAGTGCATAACTGACACGTCACAGGTATATTTTTCATCTGTAAATGTTAGAAAGTCATGCAAATATATCCATTTTGCTGTCAGGAGTGGGTGAGGCTTACGTGAGTGAACGAGCGCTGCTGCGCGCATGCACTAAACAGATGGAACGCAATAGAATAATAGCGCAATAATTCTGAATAAAATATGCATTCTGCTAAAATATTTGTTGTTGAACATTAAATGTGACGCATGTAGAATTTTAATCCTACATATAAGTGTATTTTTATGATAGCAGTAACTAAATCAAATGTAAGCTAGCTAATACAGCCCAAATTACTAGCTCAAATGAGTTCGTGTATTCCTCTTATATATAATATAATCTGTTTTATATTATTTATTTTGATTTTTAATTTAGTGATTTTGATGCTTTAAAGAGCAATATTATGTTGTAATGTTTTAATGTTCTACTAATAACCATAAAGTACAGCTGTCATAAAACCAGAGAGAAAGGCTGCATGGCTAGAAACGGCTGATCAACGGCCTATATTTTTATTTATTTGATTTATTTAAGTTGCATTTTCTGTATACTTTTATTTTTTGACTGATAACATCAAATAATTGTATGTGAGAGAGTCAGCGGTGTAATATCAATGCGTTCCTATTGGTCAGTGTTAGAGGAACTCAGCTTAGCCTGACAGTTAGCCCGCCCCGGACCAGGTTAGTTTCCCAGCATAAGTTGTGTGACTGAGCTTGAGCTATGGCAATTTTGCTTTATGAAACCAAATCAAGTGAAAATAAGTCAGACTAACTGAAATAAGCCTGGCTTATTTGGTAAACTTGTTTTAGGAAACAGCCCCCAGATGTCTGTTGCATAAAAGCTTAGATTGGTCTAATTTGAGAATGAAAAAGTATGAATGATTATCCCTTGGCTAACTGCTAATTGGTCAAACTGCTAGTTTTTAAAACTCCATTTTAACATAATGGCTGTGTTTATGCAACTGGCCCCAGAAGATCAGGAATTATTTTAAAGACATAGTTAATCCAAATAAGAAAATTCTGTCATCATTTACCTACCCTCATGCCTAACCCTTATATGTTTTGACATTTGCACTCCTCTCATAAATGTGACAAAAGTTTGATGATTTACATTTTCACACTTCACACACAAAGCTACCAGTGACTTCAAAAGATTAATATAGTACTAGCCTTTTATGATGCTATGTGTGCTTTTTGAAGCCTCATGTAAAAGACATGCCAAACAGATTTTTATTCTACTGAAGAAAGTCAGTCAGTCATACAGGTTTGAAATTGCACAATGGTGAGTAAAGCATTTTCTTTTTTACTTCCTTCAAGAAAACATTTTCTTTTCAGTGTTATTCATCTTGTCTGTCTGAATGCAAAAAATCCAGGAGAGCATGAATTACATGTTTTTTTTTTCCTGAGGCACAGTGGCAGAGAGGTTTCCTACAAAACGTCAGACAGGCGCAAACATAGTCTTTTTATTATTTTTACCCAAATAAAATGTATCAAGGCTTGAATACACTTCAATTTTGAAACGTTAATAGTTTTCTCACATAATGTTCTAGAATTCTCAAAGAAGGTGCTTGCTAATTAATTTATTGAGACCGGAACATGCATAGGCATAGTGCCTGTATGGTTATGATCCAGAACAGATCAAGGTTCCAGCATATCCAGCATAAGGTTTTATGCTGTTTTATGATTTTCATTTTTGGGTGAACAATTAATTAGTGTACTGTTTTCCATGTTATTCGTCTTGCTTGTTTGAATGGAAAAAAAAAGCACGAATTACATGTTTTTTTTTCTGAGGCCCAGTCAGACAGAGGTTTCATACAAAAAGTCAGACAAAGTGCGAACACACAAATCACGTTTATAAAAGACTTGAATACACATACTTGCTTTCTCACATAATGTTCTAGAATTAACACAGAAAGTGCTTCAATGAGACAGGAACACATGTAAACATAGGGCAAGTACCAAAAATAAAAGTATCGGTATCGGGCGAGTACTGGAAAAAGTGGTATCGGTGCATCCCTAATTCCAATTCTTGAAATGTTAGGCTACTTGTTTTCCCATATAACATTCTAGAATTAACACAGAAAGTGATTTAATGAGTCAGGAACACATGTAGGCATAGTGCCTGTATTGCTATGATCCAGCAATACAGATCAGTTCATTCAGCATAAGGGACAGCTCTGAGTTTCTGGGTTTCATCTATCCTGCAAATGAGAAACTTGGGTGTCATACTATACCAGGGTTTCTGCGGGTCTTAAAAAAGGTCTTACATTTAGTTGTATCAAATTTAAGGCCTTAAAAATTTTAAATTGTACAAGAAAGTCTTAATTATGATTTCAAGAGGCCTTAAATTTGGGGACGGAAAGACTAGAATTGCGATATGGCTGAATGTGACGATTAAACTTAAAAAGGCTATGATTTCATTGAATAAACATGAGCGCTGCACGTTCAAAGTCCGGTGCTGCGCTACTTTGTGTTCTGCCGGAAACCGTTATATTTTAAACAAAACCGTTTATTTTATAACAAAAACATTCCAAACAAAGCCACAGTGCTGTTTTGCGTCTCTGAGTATGCATTTGTAACTGCAGGTTAAAGTATTCCATGTCCCTCAGAGCTGCATTGTGTAAATACATCTAAATGCCACTTCTAATGCAGCTTCTGTGTTTCCTCTGCATTGCAAAGATCAATTTTGTTGATACTGATTTCATTTGCTTGGTAACAGCCCAGATGCAAGAATTTGACTCAAAAGATGGTGCACACTTTTAGAAAAAATGGCTTAAAGGTAAAAATGCCCATAATATTTGTTGGAAATGATTACTTTCTATCACTGCTGTGAACTGACCAAACAGAATATGAAGAATATCAAAAAATTCTGGAGTCAGCTGTTAGCACAATTAAAGATAAGATATCAGCACAATAACACACACTATAGCAAAATATTGTCTAATTATCGTTATCGATAAAATCCCAGAAAATTATCGAGATATCATTTTTTGGCAATATTGCACACCCCTAATTTATGTTATTTAATTGATATAATAATTTATTGATAATTGTTTAAATTAATATAATTAATACTTTTGACTCATCCATTTTCTTAAAAATGGTTTAAAGGCTGAAATGTAAAGTTTATCATTTTATAAAATGTTTTGTTTTTGTGAAAACTTGTATCTGAACTGTAAATTATGCTTTTTACAGTAATTTTACAGTTTAATATGGTACTTTAGACATTGCCCTACCCCACTCATATGGTATTAATTTTATTTGTGCAGGTCTTAAAAAGGTCTTAAAAAGGTCTTAAATTTGAGCTTAAAAATCCTGCAGAAACCTTGTATACATTTCTCACAACGTTGTCAACAGGATTCACATAGCAATGAAGCTTACATTTGTATGTATATTACTGTAAATGCTACTGCATCTATGTCATCAGCGGCTATTTACACAAATCATAAACTAAGCTGCTATTTACACTGAGTATAAATAGTGGTAGATAAAGTTTGCACAAGTAATGTGTTTATAAAAGTAACATGCTATTTGTATGAAAGGCAGAGGTAGGCAAAGTTAGTGAAAATAACTTTTGCCAACAAGGGTGGCTATTTGCACTGTCCAAATAGACACTGTCAATTATATTTGCTATTTATTTATTGGTTAATTGGCTTTTTGCTTTTTTATTAGATAGGACAATGGAGAACCAACAGGGAGCGCAATAGCGAATGCAAAGCACTACTTCTTTGCCACTGCTTCAACATTTTTTGTTGTTTTTTTTGTAAGCTGAAGTATGAATCAAAGCTATTTTGTTGCAATAGATTGCATGTCAAAGATGCTTTGCATTGAGCTTAACATGTATTGAACCCTGAACTAGGGCTGGGCGATATAGCTAAAAAAATGTATCAACGAT